TATATATATATATATAAACGAAAAACGTTCAAAGATTCTTCTATGCCGTTCTGACACTCTTCCAGTTACTGTGCAGCTCTTTTGTAACCTTCTGAAGACAACGTGACACTATAAACAAGTCAGTGGCCACTTCCATCCTGTCTGTAGCTTGGAACAGGCAGGTACTCTTGATCAATTGTGAGGTGTGTCGAAATCTGAAAAGCATGATAAAGAAAAACACCAGTTCTAAGTGAACCAGGAAATACATTGGTTGGATTCATGGATCAAGCACTCTATTTTTTTCAATTCAACTTTATTCATATAGTGCTTTGACAATAGTTGCAGCTGTAACACAGCACTTCACACAACACATGAGATGAAACACGAACAACAATACAAACATAACAAACCACCAAATACTTTTTCTCCATTCCTCCATACACTTTTTTGTTTGAAGTGGGTGTAGATGAAAAAGGAGTGATTCAAAGCCTCCTTTTACCAGGTGATCAAAGATTTCATGATCATAGCATGAATGCCTTGACTCACGTCTGCTCCAAGCAGTATTTGAAAGTTAACAAGCCATTGTTGGCATCCGCTTGTGAGTACCATTAACATATACAGAACACCTGTCATGAATGTTGACATTCAGCTTAGAGAATAGGAAACTTTGCAAAAAGTACTGAAACATGCAATTGATCAACACTGTATGTACATTCATTCATTCGGTGCATTTTAGGGTCATTTTTTAATGTCTCCCAAAAGCCTGTACAGTACTCCTACCATTTTGAGACATGTATTACAGGGTCAAATATTGAAAACCTATATTACTTGCAGTTTAGGACCACAAACACAATAATAAGCATCACTGAGCATAGATAAAACTGTTTTTTTTAAAAAAAGTAATGTTTTGTCACAATGCTTGTAATTAGTGGTGTTTGTGTGCCCCATATTGTGGCAACTGAGTCCAATGTTCGTGCAATTAATTTAAAAGCGATACATAACTATGGCAAAAGTGAAGGTAAATAGTGGGTAGCTATGTGGCAAAGTTATTATTGGGATGTTGGACAATGACACTTCCTGCTCCTTTACAGTACGGTACAGTACTGATGCGCACTGCATTGTGGGGACACAAATACGAGCGCCAAAAGGCTAGCCGGTACAACAAAGGAGAGAAAATAACAAACGGAATCTTTAAATGACAAGTTGCTATGATGTGAGTTCCAGTGAGCGTTGTCAGGGATGTAAATTCGCCGGAATAACGCTGGGGATGTAAGACACGTCGCGAGCTGCTTTGTGTCAGCTCGACTGTTTGCCTACTCAGGCCCAGCAGCTCGCAGAGGCCTCGGACTAAAGGTAAATATCCTTTTTGTAATTTGTTTTAGTGTCATTCTTATGTTGCGCGGTTATTATCCATCTAATATGTCGGTTAAGCCTTTTCGTTGGTTGTCCGTTGCTGTATTCTATGCGACCGTAATCTTCCTAGCTAACGTGCTAGCTGTCGTGCATCGCTCGGTTCGTTGAGGTAGTCAGGGTTATCCACGGTCAAACCGGAAGTTCATCATCTTAAACTTCGAAAGAAAAGCATTTGTTGAATTGGACAGAAAAAACGAGGTGTGTTGTGTACTAAGTGTCGAGATTGTACCTCGTATTAATCGACGAAGCGAGCTGATTAAATAGTTATAAATGTACATATTAATAAAGAAAACAATGCTTCATAACGGTATTGTTTTACATATGGTCCTTTACGACATAGCAGCCACTTAGGAAACTTTAATTACTTAGCGTTAAAGCATTGGGTGATGGCTGAACAATTTTGCTAAGTCTTACAAATACAATACGCACGCTCATGAATTCAATATGTATAGTATTGTATGTTTATTTTACTCTACACTCAGCCATCGTCCTGTATGCTGAATGCCCATTGCTATACTGTAGTTAGCAAACTCCTATCCCACCCCCACAACACACACACACACACACACACACACACACACACACACACACACGCGCGCGCGCACACACGCACACACTCGTTTTAGGGGCTGGGAGCAGCGGTATGAAAATCTGTCGAAGTACGTAACTGTGATATGTTTTATTGTGATAGGTGAAACAGGATGTATTACTTATCTCAACCGTCATTAGAAATTGGAACTTGACACATAGCTGGTGTTTGCTAAACTGTATTGTTGTGAGTTTTTAATGTTCATTTTTGGAATTTGCGGCTTCCTGTTGCTCGTCTTACACAGAGGACTTGTCTTTTTTGTTTACTTCGGCCCAACGGCTTCAACTAGCATTTTCCTACTTGTTTCAGCTATCTGACCACTTGCTAGTAGGATGTGATGATAGTTAGAGGGAAAGGACCAGGTTGTAAACTGGGCGCCGCCATCACGAGTAATTGAAAGGTACAGTGGATGTGAACTTTTTGTGTGTTACTCTTTCTTAGCCAATAAATATGTCAGGTTAGGTTTAAAATGTTAGCGAAAATATGATCTGCAACAACCAATAACAAGCATCTATCACCACCTGTGGCCTATTCATTTTAGTAAAAAAAAAAAATCCTATTAGTTTATCATAGTCTCCAGGTTGTTTTTGTCTTGTAAAGCTGGCATTTATTCACACGTTCAAGATTTATTTACATTCCGTTACAATGTTGCAGAAAAACCTTCAAAATGTTTTGTGATTACGGCAAAGTAATCCAACTAAAATAATTGTGTGTGTCAACTTTAAGTCCCTTCAAAATGTCTCCATAGAAATGCCTGAGAGGCTCTTCAACTGTGAGAAAATGGCATGATATTATTTTCTATTCTTTTTACTCCAAGTCTGTAATTCGCCATGTTTTTTATTAGGCCAGGTACTGTACTTTTATTTGGTCTGTGTGTGTGTGTGAGACAGGCTGTGTGCTTTCCTTACTGGTACCCCTGTACTCGAGCTTTTGTTTGATGGAAATATCATGGCTGGGAGTCCACATGTCTCACAGACAGCTGCTAAGCATCCTGTAGTTCACTGGCCTCCACTTGAGCCTGGATTGCCTTTGTTGTGGTTACATAACCTGGCATTCTGTCCTCGACACTCTATTCACTTATCACCCACCTCCTTTTTTTCCGATGAGTGTATTAATGTTGCTGTTTAACTGTCCACAATGCACTTTTAACTTCTCTTTAAAACTTTATAAAGTTCTCTTGCTAATAGATTCTGAAGTAATTAATTAAATTTAAAGTTGCTGAAAAGTGAAAATAAAGATCTCTTCGAAAAGATGTTTTTGAAATTTGGCACATCACAATGAAAAGTGTGATTACCAACCCTGCCAAATATATATGCCAAATGTATTTGAGACTAGTCAAAGTCCTACCTGCAACCTTCTTTTATTTATAATTTTATCTGTGGTTTTATTGTTCTTGTTTTGATTGTAAGGTGTCCTTGAGTGTTTTGAAAGGCGCTTAAAAATAAAATGCATTATTATTTAGTTTCCACCACAAGGGGGGATATCACTGTTTTGTTTGTTTTTTTAAATCTCCAAAGAATTACAAAATAAAAATAAAATAGAACATCAGGTGCTTTCAAAGTGCTTAGGCCAAACAAAAAAGATAGTGTGTTTCAGGTAACATGAAATTTAAGCATAGGGTCGGTAGGTAGGACAAAGTTTTTTGTTTTTTTTTTAATCTTTTTATTTTTTTTTCATCAAAAATTTAAACAAAATAACCATAAAACATAAAACATTCTGACTGTTTCAGAACTCAAAACCTGTTAGTATCGCTTTGGGACACGAGACACAACTTGTTGGTAACAAGTAGACCCATGGAGTTTTCTTCTGAAATTCTTTGTTTTTCTCCTTTTCTGAACATGCTGCTTTCATCATGACATCGAATACGTCTACACTTTCTGTTTTTGCCACTGTTTCTTGTGTTTTTTCTGTACATCTAAATCGAATCGATCTTAGGTCAGGTAAAATATTTAAAACTTGAAACACTAACATATCCTGATCATCAATGTCATATAATTCACCGGTGGCACATTGACACTGTGCTATTTTCACGTGGTTCATACTCGGCCCGTGGTGTTCATCAAATAGTTCGCTGAATTTTTTCGATACATCAATGGATGCTATTTTCTTAGGCGGAGAAAAAAAAGTAGTGTGTTTCCGGTAACCCGACCGACCGAGAGTTTCTACGTCGGAAAAAAAACTTTACGGTCGGGATTTTTTTCAAAAACCCTCTACATTTTTGTGTAGAGGGTTTACATCGGTGCAAACTCTCGCGATATTCACGTTGAGCGTGTGCGTCGTTTGCCCTGTCGTCTGTCAACAACATTGAATCATGGCGGCGGCCGCGATCTCCGACGACAGTTTAAACCGCGTTTTCTGTGTTACAGTCGCATGCTCGCACTATAATGTTAAGAATAGCATCCATTGATGTATCGAAAAAAATTCAGCGAACTATTTGATGAACACCACGGGCCGAGTAAAAAACCGAGAGCGGAGGAGGACGGCGGAGGAGGCGGCGCGCCCCGGCCCCCGAGTCCGGAGCGGGGAGAAAACTAAATAGGTGGCTGCGGCACCGGCCGCGGAGCGGCGGGGGGGGCGTTGCGGGCATCGCGGGGTTGGGGGACGGTGTCGGGCGCGGGGTCGGTCGGTACGCATCGCCTTCGGCAGCGAGCGGGGGTTCATTGTCTCCTTGTTTTATGTTTCATGGTTATTTTGTTTAAATTTTTGATGGAAAAAAAAAAGATTAAAAAAAAAAAAACTTTGTCCGACCTACCGACCCTAAGCTGAAATTTCATGTTCCCGGAAACACGCTATCTTTTTTGTTTGGCCTTAACATTACGGTGCGAGCATGCGACTGTAACACAGAAAAAGCAGTTTAAACTGTTGTCAGAGATCGCGGCCGCCGCCATGATTCAATGTTGTTGACAGACGACGGGGCAAACGACGCACACGCTCAATGTGAATATCGCGAGAGTTTGCACCGATGTAAACCCTCTAACAAAAATGTAGAGGGTTGTTTGAAAAAAAAAAAAAACCTTTACGGTCGGCATTTTCGACGAAGAAATTCTTGGTCGGTCGCGTTACCGGAAACACACAATTTTTTTTTTCTCTGCCTTCGGTTAACATATCAAAAACAGTAACAACAATTTTCTGAGCAATACAAGTACTCAAGACTGAACTTGCTTCAGATAATAAACAATAAAACAGACCCTTAAATCACAGTGCTCTAAGTTAGCACTTCAGAAATAACACTGTTCATCATGACAAACTAAAAGTGCTGAAAAAAACATCTGTAGTAGTCTACAGAGGACACATCAACTATGTCTCATACGTGGGGTGTTCTCGAGTTTAGTTTGCCGAAGAGCTTTGCTATGTATGGCTCGCTCGCTATATTGCTCACGCTTTCGGTGCTAATGTTAGCTGTGGCTGCACTTGCGACTGGGTGCTTTGCATTGATGTGGGAGGCTAAATTTGAGTTGCTTCGGTGGTACGCAAACTCCTTCTTACCAATTAGGCACACCACTCTACCTTTATCAATTGTGTCCTCAGGGCGTTTTTGGAATGTAAATTTTCCATTCATTGTGCCGAAAACTCTCACATCCTGCTCCATTTTCACCTCTCCGCTCTTCACCGCTGCTTACTAAGCCCGCCCGACTCCAATGGGAGCCTATCAGCTTCGGCTAAAGAAGCCCCATCATAATGGCAGCCAATCAATGTCCGCTTCAGGCTGTGACTGACAGTTGTTTCCCCACCCTCAACAACTTGAACACAGGAAACTAACACATAAAAAGGGCTATTAGAAAAAGGCAACCCACCTACAGAAAAAATAAAGGCGGAGATTAAAATCAAGATTAACGCGATTAAAAACGAACGTGCCAAATGGTCTGTAATTAATTAATCGCAATTAACGCGATAATTTGACACCTCTAATCAGCATATCTCGATTTCTGGGTGGTGGTGGTGGTTGTTTTTTTTTTTCTTCAAACCATAACCATGCCGCATTGAACTCCATGCCTAAGGCATTACTGTCACCTAGGGGTAGAAACAGTGCACAGCACGTATCGACAAACAGTGGAGACTTATCCCAGGTCCCAAGTATTGATTTATGATTATATGAATTGATAACGGGCTCTGAAAAGGAAAATCAATTAGATCCAATGAATCCGTTTTTTCTCAAACCTAGCCCTACTACGGCCATTCGACTTTTAAGTTGCAACTGGCATGCACTCATAAATTTAACAAGAAAGTGACACAGAGAGACTCCACCGGTTGTTTTATTATATATGTTTTGTTGTTTAAATGCAAATCCTATAATTAGACAGAGTGGTAAGTGATTGCATGAGCTTATTCCTCTATTAAACTACGTACTAAATACTTTGTCTTCATAGGACAAGTTTTCTCTACATGTTCAGAAGCTGACTAACATGGGAGTGAAGACCTTTACCCATTGCTCGACATCCCACAGCCAGGAGATGCTCGAAAAGCTCAACACTTTGCGTAACCAAGGTGACTTGTGTGATGTTACCATCAGGGTGCAAGACAAACATTTCCTGGCACATAAAGTGGTCCTGGCGTGCTGCAGTGAATTCTTCCGTTCCAAACTGGTGGGTCGGCCCGAGGAGGAGGACAAGTTTGTCTTGGACCTTCACCACGTGACCGTTAGTGGCTTTGCTCCTCTGCTGGAATACGCCTACACATCCACACTCTCCATCAGCACAGAAAATATTATCGACGTCCTCGCAGCTGCGAGTTACATGCAGATGTTTGCTGTAGCAAGCACTTGTTCAGAATTCATGAAGTCCAGTATTCTTTGGAGTCCAAGTAACAACAACAGCAACACGCTTACAGCAGGCAAACCCCTTGAATCAGCACCTGAGAGTGCCTCTTCAAACTGTGCCCTCACTCCACTTGACGGCAGCGTGTCACCCGTGTCATCTGACTGTAGTGTGATGGAGAGAAATGTCCCCGTTTGCCGCGAATCACGACGGAAACGAAAGAGTTTTGTAAGCATGGCTTCGCCTGAGAGTCCCCTCAAATGCACGACACAGATGGTCACGACCTCCCCCCAGGTTCCCAATCCATCCCCTTCGTTTTCAGACAGCACGGCCCAGCCTGTGGAGTCCTCGCTGGCCTTCCCGTGGACCTTCCCATTCGGCATCGATCGGAGATTCCACTCGGATAAATCAAAGCTCCCAGAGAGCCCCCGGTGCCAAGAGCAGGCAGCAACAGTTACTTCTGAGGTGGTGGTCGGTCGGCGACTCAGTGACTTTTTGTCATGTGAAAGCTCCAAGGCAGTGTCACCACCCGTGCCAACTGAGGAAGAAGATGTGAGGGTGAAAGTGGAACGGCTCAGTGACGAGGAGGTCCAGGAGGCATCCTCCCACCCTGTCAGCGCCTCCCAGAGCTCACTCAATGATCAACAGACGGTTCCAGGAAGTGAGCAGGGTCAGGAGGATCTCCTCATCAGTCCACAGTCATCATCCATAGGTGGGGGAGTTAGTGCTACAAAATAATACTTTGTGGCTCATGGGCTTTAGTTAAGTTAAAATGCATCTGCACTACGCTGAGTTCAATGTCAAGCGCAGGTATTTCTTGAGTGTTTCATGGAAACTGAGGCACTTCTGACTGTTCGTGAATTCTTTTAGTTTTGTCAAAAAATCTTTTTACACATTACTCATATGGGCATATTTTCAACAAACTATAGTGCCAAAATGTGTGGACTCCCAACCACATCTTCTGTGAGCGGCACGTTTATCAATTTAAAGATACTCTAGGGGTGTTCACACGGCAACTTTTACTCCGGAGTAGCTACCGGCGCTGCCCCCCGTAGAGCGTTCACACATACATACTGAAAACAGCTTAAACTGGAGCAAATTTAACCCTGCTCAGGAGGTGGTTTAAAAATGTACTCTGTAGTAAATGCTAGTTTGCGGGGCAGCACCGATATAAAATGGGACGTGTGAACGCTACAGGAGTAGACTCACTACAGATGAGAAGAGTTGATTACATACGGGTAGAATGCGTTGCTTTCGTGCTTTGTTGTACTTCCGTCATCTTTTTTTTCTCTCTCATCCTTTTACGGTGTCTGATAGACCACAGCGTTGATTTGTCTGGAGAAGTATAAACCATGGTTTTTCAATATGTCACAAACAAGGCGGGAAAAAGGAAGTACACATTACGCATTCGCATGTTTTATTTCCGTATTGCACGGCCGCAGAAACTGAAACTAAAGGGGTTAACACGCTTCTCTTTAGTAAACAGCTTTATATGTGTGAACGCTTCACAAAATTTACACCGGTGTCAGATATATCGCAACAAAATACAACGGTGCAGCCCCGATGCAAATGTGTGCCGTGTGAACACTCCTTGTGTGAGAGGAATGCATAAGATGAATTCAGAAAAACGCCCACATCGTCTTTTGAGTTTTTTTTTTTTTGTTTCAGGATCAATGGATGAGGGAGTGTCAGAGGGCTTGCCGTCAATTCAGAGTACCGCTAATGCTGGAGGACATGCGGAGGATGATGAAAGGTATCACAATTTGTTTAGACTTGCAGCAAAGGAAGTCATTAGCGTGGTCGACTACGAAATACGGCATAAAACTCCAAAGTGGATGTCACGCATCTGTAATGAATTGAAATGTTCAATATAATAATAAGGTGTTTGACAGCACATTGCTACATCCATCCCAAATATGTGATTAAAGTAATCAGTAGAGTAATTCATATAGATCAGGGGGGCCCATTACGTCAATCTCGATCAACCGGTAGCTCGCGGGCTGGTCCAAAGTCAATCGCGAGGGGTTTAGAGGAGAAAAAAAACCTTAACCATTTGTGTGTCTTAGGGGATGTTAGTAATATATTTTTGTGTTAATGTTCACTGCACCCTAACCATCCTATCAGTCACATCTGCACAAAAAGTATTTAAAAAAAAAAAAAGCAGGTAAATCTTTAACCCACGGTGTTGTGTGACCTGCGTCACCGGAAGTAGTCAGCCCTCAGCAGTCTGCAATTGCAGCTTGTGATTGGAGCTGTTGCCCTACATCTTTTATCGTTATCATCATTCTCATTCAGAGTTATCCAATCCAAGTTTGTTTTGTGTACAATTCACTGAGGTCACGGGCAAAGAATAGGAATCTGGAGGGCCGAGGGAAGCATTTTCAAACGGTACGTGTGAGCTACGATAGATAACAAGCTGCCAAAGTGCCTCGCATGCCTCCACGTCAGGCTGTTCCTCATCATGCGTGTGTATGTGCGTGCGTGCGCGCGGTAACAGGTCGATCGCGGGAGGTTGGTTGATCGAAAGGTAGATCTTCGGTCAAAAAAGTTTGGGCACCCTTGATATAGATGATAACGGATTGTAATCAGGATTGGTGGAGGGGTGGGGGGTGGTGCGTTCAGAATCTCACACAATTTCTGATTGCCACCATGCACCTGCGTGTGGCATAACTGTGCAGAGATGGGTTAGACCTGATGGTAATTAAACTGACAAGAACAGGTGGTGGAATTGTTCGAGTGAGGGTTGCACCTTTGAGGGAAGGGTCACAGCCGACTTCAATCATGGCCAGTCAAAGATGCATTTTTTAAAAATATGTTATTGTTTTGCAAGATCAATCTGTGCTTCCTCTTGTTTGGTATTTCAGATTAGAAGGTATTCAATATCCATACCACCTCTATATTGGCCCATCAGCCCGGCCCGGCACCAATGGCCCTGACAGGCCCTTTCAGTGTCCAACCTGTGGAGTTCGATTCACACGCATTCAAAACCTGAAGCAGCACATGCTCATACACTCCGGTAAGTAAAGATGTGAAATTGACATCATAGTTTCAGAGGAAAACATATGAAATGGCGTGTCAGATGTCAGGACGATGGTGCACCACTGTGGCTGTCCACGGCAGTGATGAAAGTATCTAAAATACAATATTGCATACAGCGCCTTGCGATAGCATCAGACCCCCTTGAACTTTATGACCTTTTGCCACATTTCAACAATTCTATCTTCCCAGTCCCTGTTGAAGAAAAGCAGCCCCAGACTATCATGCTGCAACCACCATGCTTGACAATGGGAAAGTTTTTTTAGGGTGATGTGAGGTGTTACTTTTACGCCAAACATAACACATTCAGCCCAAAAATTTCAATTTTGGTCTCATCAGCCCAGCGCACTTTCTTCCACATGTTTGTTGTGTCTCCCTGGTGGCTTGTGGCAAACTCCACAAACTGCACTTTTGATCGGTTTTGTTGAGAAATGTTTACAAATGCAAACCGTTTCATGACAGCACGGCGGTGATAAACGATCATTTAAAAAGGAAGCACATTGTGGCTTGATACCTGATTTCATTTCTGACATAGGGACAGTCATCTTTGGAAGCTAGCATTAGAACACACGGTTTACCTTGTGTTTTTGATTTAATGCGCTGTCCTGTGCACTAACATATTGTAGACACAGAAGCAGAAAGTAGTTCTAGTTCCGGTATGACGCCTGCTTGCGATTAGATGCAGATGAGAACGCAAAGGTAATAGGAAGGAATTTGAATGAAAGTTGTCAAACTGAAAGGCAGACATCCATCCATATATAAGGAGCACCGCAGCACAAGGTGCACTGTCGATTTTGGCGTAAATTACGGCATTTTAAGTGCGTCTACTATGTTATATTAATAAATAATGCTGAGATTGCCTCAGCCTCACACGTTTTGCCTTGGCGACGAAACGTGTTCTTCTTGCCCAGCAAAGCTTTTTGGGACTATCTCTGCCATTCAATTATCAGAAAAACACTTAAACATCTGTGATTCTCAATTTTGCCATTCAGTGGGGTATGATGTGGCGCTAAATGCAAATTTTGACTCGCAAACTGCAATGCGAAACCGTTTATCTTGAGCCTTGCTTTCACAATACTGTGTATGAATCAGAGATGAAAGTCCTCCGGATTTTCCCGGAATTCCGGGTTTTTCAAATTTTTATGTACATTTCTCCGGAGAATTGAGGAAAATAAAATAAACAATAAAATTAATCCGGATATTAGTTGACAACATTGAATGAAGACGCGTTTGAGTTCGTTGTATTACTTTCACGAGCGTAGCCATATTGAGGCACTAACACTAGTAAAGGTAAAGAGATTTTTATTTGTGTAATAACGACAGAAGACATGATGGCGTTTGACTAATGGTTTAGTAGAACGAATGGCAACTCGCAACAACAGTAGCAAGCGTCATTTTGCCTCTTGGGTTATACCATCTCAACTAGAACGTGGGGGATAGTCCCCAAACAATTTTCGTCTCTTTATAAACACACCTGCTAAACCCCAGTGGAACGAATAAAAGACGCCGTCAACAAGACATTTGTAGTAAAAAATATATTTGGCCAAAAAGGGAAAAACACACAGATTGGCAGAAAATCGTGTCCGTCCGACTTCGAGTGTCGTTTCGGCTAACTTAGCTTAGCTGTTGTCATGTGTGACGTCATTTGCGTCGACGCTGATTGGTTGAAATCAAAAGACGCGCTTGCGTACATGTTCGCGCTGAAGCACGCACAGCAGAGAGCAGCGGACTATCTACTGCTGAGGCTCGCTTAGCTTGAGTGGCGTCGCCACAACAGTAATACCCTCGCCTCGCATTCTCATGGCCTCGCCATATCTTGGAGATTTCGAAATTTCGGCCCGAACGGAAGCCACAAAGGGTACACGTGTGAAAAGTATGTGTGTGTGTGTGTATATATATATATATACACACACACACACACACACACACACACACACATATACACACACACCTTTATTTATTTATTTATTCCGGAATTTTCAGAAAAGTCCACTTTCATCTCTGATGAATGAACAAATTAAAGTGGAATTATACACCAAAATAAAGAACACAAATTAGTTATACCTGGGGGAAAAAAATGGGCAAATTTATTCTGACCGCAAATCCAGAACCCGTGAAGGTGGGGTGTATAATGTACAATGAATCTGAAGGTTTGACGCCCGCTCTTCACATATTTGAAATGCATCACATTAGACCAGCTGTCTACCCTGCTCCGTTGTTAGACGTGGTTTGAGCACGTGTTCAGTCTACATCGACTTTCTGCCACCAACTGTTCACTCCGCCAGGTGCATCTCGAAAAATACTGTACTCCTTATGCTGCACCGGCCTGCTCAACTTGGAGGAGATTGGTTTGCCAAATTGGCAACCACAAGCAGTGAACCTTACACTGATATGAGAATCAAGAACCGCCGTCATTTGCGCCACGATTCAGATGCACTGTCAACAAAATACAACAAATATTCCTCTTAATAAATACACTTGTCAACAGTTTCTTCATTTAGACAATATTGGCTTCTTATTGTTCTCTAATTATGAAGTACGACCTTGTACAAAATTGTACTGTGATTCATGAAAATGGTTAATAACCCTTTTCGGGGACAGCGGTTAAAACAGTAGACAGCTGACCATGTTATCAGGTTACAGGGTGCACGAAAGGGTTAACTATAAAAAAAATCTAATTGTTATTGGCATCCTCCTCCACTATACATTTCAAACATTTCATTTTCAGTGACTGAAATAAACCGAATCTGAACGTAAGTGTTGATTTTCTTTATTCCGCTAGGCATTAAGCCTTTCCAGTGTGACCGCTGTGGGAAAAAGTTCACACGGGCCTACTCTCTAAAGATGCATCGGCTGAAGCACGAAGGTAAACGCTGTTTCCGGTGCCAGATTTGTAGTGCCACATTCACGTCCTTCGGTGAATATAAGCACCACATGAGGGTCTCCCGACACATAATCCGCAAGCCGCGGATTTATGAGTGCAAAACGTGTGGCGCCATGTTCACCAACTCTGGCAATTTAATTGTACACCTGAGGAGTCTGAACCATGAGGCATCTGAACTAGCAAACTACTTCCAGAGCAGGTGAGAAGACCCCATCGTTCACTCAATTCACATTGGGGTCAGCAAACACCTCTATCATATTGATTTCAGTATGTCACATTACTGTATTTTCCACACTAAAAGGTGCACCTAAAAGCCTTCCATTTTCTTAAAAGCTGACAGCGCGCCTTAAAATCCGATGCGCCTTGTGTATTCTCATTACGGTAATGTGTCGACCCCAAAATGGCTCCTTGCTAGAGACATGCTTACAACGCAGAGTTCAAACTTAAGGCGATTGGGTTGCGCAGTTGAACACGGAACTAGAGCAGAGGCAAGAGAGTTCAATGTTAAGGAGTCAATGTTATAACTTGCTGTTGGTTAAATGAACTGTGTCGCTGCTTTATTAAGTTTTACTGACATTTGATCGTTCTGTAGCAACGCCACTCTCAGCGAAGCTATCTTAGCTTAGCTGTTGTAGCTTAGCTTGATCTCTGACATGGGGTGTGTCGGCGCTGATTGGTTGAACCACGTGCATACACGCTCGTGCTCGCGCACATTTCCTCGAGTGTACCTCCATCTAGTGGATGCATTGTAGATTGCGTCTTATAGTGCGGTGCGTCCAATATATATGGAAAAAAATTACAAACTAAGCCATTCATTGACGGTGCGCCTCATAATCCAGTGCGCCTTTTAGTGTGGAAAATACGGTAATGTACTTTAACTCTGTTTTCTTATTTGATACATACTTACAGTACATAGAAAACACCTCAGTCATATTGATGTCATTATGTCACATTAATGTAATTTAAGTCTGTTTTCTTATTCGATACTTCTATCATATTGGTATGGTTATGTAACAATGTACTTTACCTCACTTTTTGTATCCGATACATATAGTACGTATGTATACAGAGCCGCCAAATGTGACGGATTGTCCGTCATTTGTTACGGAAATCACCGAACGTGACCTCACTAGGGCTGTAATGTTGAGTTCCAGATATTTCAAGAAAAATGATCAATTATGTGCCATTCGTTCCACGCCATTTCAAGGACAAATGCAAAATACGGATTTTTTTTTATATTACATATATCCTTTAAAATTATCTGTCATTGGTTTGATAAAAAAGAAAATTATATACCAGAAGTACTTGTGGTATCGATACTTCATATGAGTATCTGTGATGACTCAAGAGTTGAGTATTTATACTGGTATGCGCTGAAAAAAAGTGATATTGAACATCTCTAATATGTATATATGTTTATACATATAAAGTGTTCCTTAACAACTTTGCAATTGGAATAGTCTGCAGCATGGGTTTGTTATTGTTTTGTTGGAAGGTCAACCTCCGTTGCAGTCTCAGGTCTATTGCAGACCCCAACAGGTTTTCTTCCAAAATGGGAGCCTGTATGTGGCTCCATCCATCTTCCCCATCAACTGTATGTCTCTTCCCACGTCCTGCTGAAGAGAAACAGTCCCAGATGATGATGCCCCTACCACCAATTTTGACAATGGCCTTCTTCCATGGTTGTTGTGTTTCCCAGGTGGCTTGTGGTAAAATGTAAACCATACTTTTTATGGTTTTCTTTGAGAAATGGCTTTCTTCTTGACACTCTTCTATAAAGGCCAGATTTGTGCAGTGTGTCCAATGGACAGATTCCCCTGCTTTAGCTGTGGATCAGTGCAGTTAATCCAGATTGATCCACGGGCCTCTTGGCTGCATCTCTGATCAGTGCTCACCTTGTTTGGACTGGGAGTTTAGAGGAATGGCTCGGTCTGGATAGGTTTGCATTCGTCTGCTACTCTCTTCATTTCAACATGATTGATCAAACACTGCCCCATCAAATGTTTAAAACATGTTGAAATCTTTTTATAACCAAATCGTGCTTTAAACGTCACTACGACTTTATCCCGGACCTCTCTGGTGTGTTCCTTTGGCTCTTCATAATGCTGTTTACTCCCCAATATTCTTTTAACAGTCCTTGAGAGCATCACAGAGTTAGGTGCATTTCTACCGAGTCTCAGTTTCACACCCTCAGTTTCACACCGGTGGACTCTGTTTATCATCATCAGTCATTTAGGTCAACATTGGATTATTCAGAAATCATCAGGGAAATTCTGGAGTCTGTCAGCTCTCTACTGAGAGAAAAAGAGGTTCATAATTTTTCAGTTCAGCTTTTCAGTTATTTGGTTGTAAAACGAAAAGTTTAGAATATCAAATACATTTTACAGTGATGAAAGTCCTGCGGATTTTCCCGGAATTCAAATTTCATGAAAGTTCCTCCGGAAAATTGAGGAAAAATTGCCTAAAATTAATCCGGCTATTAGTTGACAACATTGAATGAACACGCGTTTGAGTTCGTTGTTTTGCTTGTAGCGACACCACTCGAGCGAAGCGCGCCTCAGCACTCGATAGTCCGCTGTTCTCTGCTGTGCGTGCGTCAGCGCAAACATGTACGCACGCGCGCGTCTTTTGATTTCGAACAATCAGCGCTAACGCAACTGACGCATCCGTCACAGATCAAAGAAGCTTTGATCTCCGACAACAGCTAAGCTAGCGGAGACGACACGACGCTCGAGATCGGACGGACACGTTTTTCTGCTAATCTGTGTGTTTTCCTTTTTGTCCAAATTTTGCTTTCATGAGCGTAGCCATGTTGAGGCACTAACACTCGTAACCATAACACCCCTCCCTTCACATTCTCATGGCCTCGCCTTCGAAATTTCGGCGAGAACGGAAGCCACAAAGTGTGCACATGTGCACACAAAAGGCAGATTAATCATTGAATGTCGAGTATTTCAATAGCGTTTTGTGTAAACTAAATCATGCGTGATCGGCTAGGTACGGGCCCAGCGCAATGTTCAAACAGGTAGACAGGCAAGCTGACATACATGCAATAGACGCGAGTGTTAGGAACACGTTCAAGTGGTCATGGCTTGAGGAAAAGGGCTTGAACGGAGATTTTTTTGTCCGACTACATTAGAAAGGTCGACGAAATGTTAAAATCATTTTATATATATATATATATATATATATATATATATATATATAAATAAATTTTCAGGAAAGTCCACTTTCATCTCTGATTTTATTCCACTTTAAGATTGTGTCCCACTTGGTGCTGCTGCTTCACCAAAAACAAACCAAAAAAAAAAAAATCCTCTTTTATATCTTTATGTTTGAAGCCTACAATCTGGCAAAGGTTGAGACACCTCTGTCCTTCACTTTCTCTGGTGGGTGTTAAGTGTGGTACACGGCATGTCGCCAAATAGCACAGCGACTACTTGTCACCATTTAAATGGGCCAAATTACTGATTCCAAATTTGAAGACGCCTGCGATGCTAATTAGAGGGGACATCTTGGTTGAACATGGGAATCATGGTCACAATTGATTCGATTCATGTCTGATTTAGAGGGCCACGCTTCACTTTGATTGTCAATGCATCTTGCATTGATGAACATTTTTCTCTGTGTACTTCCTACTTTTTGTAATGACCCAAAATAAATTCCGGTCGTTTTTGTTTTCTTTTTTCCTTCCCTGTGTCATTACAGCATCCTGCCAGCGTTGTTTCGGTCATCAAAGTCCTGATCTGAAGTGTGGAGCAGAAGTTTGTCAGCAACAAAAAAATATTCATCTTAATACAAAATTTAAAAATCAGTAGCTTTATTAGTCGCACTTTGCGCGAGTGGAGGACAATTTAACTCTCAGTGCCTCCTTTTTAAAGGGCAAAATTGGACCATTTCAGAGCAGTCTGGAAATGACAAAGGGATCGCATATGGTCGCATAATATTACCTTCCTCAGACCCTCAGACAGAACAAACTTGAGATGAATGTCATATTTTGGAGTTAAGCTGGTTTCAGTTTTGCATCACAATGCTTTTAAAGGACTTAATCGTGTTTTCATTGTGTTCGCGATGAGGCATGTACCTTCACTGGAATGTATTGCAATTTATTTCACTGAGCTATAGGAGTCTGGAGACAAAAAATCAATATGCTGTACATTTATTATATTAGAAGTGTTAACGGAGAAGTGAAAAGTGCTGTGATTGCTTTGTTTTGTTTTTGTTTTTTCTCCCCTTCCCCCTTCCCAGTAGTGATTTCCTCGTGCCCGACTACCTGAGCCATGTGCAGGAGGAGGAGGAGGAGGTGCTCGGAGTCCAATATGAATTGGAAGAATCCCAACATCACCCTGTCTATGCGGGCAACACCTCCACATCCACAACCATTCCCGCCTCGTCCTCCTCCTCAGTTCAGTTGGCTGTCATCTCCCAGGTCTCCTCCTTGACCCAGAATTGTGAGAGCTCACCTGGCTTCCTTTCACCCGATTCCATGGATCCCCTGGAAGCTCGCGTCTCCTTCAAGAAGCATGCAGGCGGCACCTCTGCCCTGGCAGAGGAGACCAAGAAGGACAACAGAGAAGGAGGCGGTTCACCCGTCGCGTTTGACCAAGTGCACCATCGAAGGCCCAATATCCAGGCCCAGGAGTTGGCTTCTATCACCATTGAGTGATGCAAGTCTTCTTCTTGCCCATGTTGTGCTACTTTGCAGTGATAACATCTGGGAAAATCTGAGGAATATTGATGCCCAAAGAGCTCAAGTGGACTTCACATTTCCATTGACAGAATCACGGCGAGTTTTATCAAGACTTTGGTTATCCCGGTGATGGCTTTCCACCATAAAATGAGTCATGTGCGTGTGTGTTTTTAACAAGGGTTATTCATCCCGTTTGACGTGAATGCACTGCCACTGGAGGTATGTGAAATTCTAGCCTTGTCCTTTTGAAAAGTGCCTGAGAATAGATGAAGAGCACTTGTTTGCCAACAATAGCAACTTAAGGCTTTACAAGCTGAGCTTTTTTTTTTTTTTCTCTTAGGATGATGTTAATGTGTATGGGCACACACCTGTCTCTTTCGGTCTTGTCACAACATGTCAGTATCGTCTCTTGCAATATCTCTTAGTGTAGATTCCCGTCTGCAGTACATGTCAACTGTTGTAGAACTAACATGATGTCCGGATGAAATACATTTCATTAATATGTTTAAAACTGCAAGTATAGTTCCTCATTAATTTTCTGTCTTTTTTTTTTTAGGCCAGGACTGTGGTTCACTAACAGATCAGATAAAATATTTTTAGCACTGGCAACATTTTCACTCAATTACACAGTTGTGGTCTGAAGTTGTGGATTGCCTCACAGAGTCATCTGACATTGTTTGGAAAATGGCACGAAAAACAAAACTTTGAAGGTGATGGAATGATTTTCATGGTCTGTCACATCTATTATGCTTCGATCAGTTCAATAGGTTGGCAATCAGAAGACGACGACAAAGAGAAAACCCTCCAGTTTGTTTCTTTGTTTTTCTTCTTCATTAACATTGCTGCTTTTCTGTTATGTACTGGAAAACAATTTGCATTCCCTGTTTTGAATCATAACTCTACTCCCAAAAAAACAAAGGCATACCAATGTTGAAAAATAAAAATCGAAATCCAACAACATATAGTAAGCGGTGTGAATCACAAATTTGAAAAGTAAAGCAGCAAAGTTCATGAAACTCAATATTTCTGTGACTGCCAAAAAACTTTGGCCACGACTGTAGAAGGTGACACCTTCATATTTCAATCCGCAAGGTTTTCAAACAAACCCGAATGTAGCATTTCATGCCGGTTGCAGTCCGGCTTGCTCGTTATTTGATAATGTGTTGTTTCTTTTTACACTTGATGATATTTCTCCCCGTCTGCCCATGTCCACTTTTCACTCGTTTTTCCACACATTATCTTATTTCTCATTCTGATGTCCAAATACAATAGCAACAGTTTGGGATTCACATTTTCCCCATTTAGCGTGTACCCAAAAAAAGAGAACTGAACAGCTGGATCACATAAATGTTTGTGATCTTTGTTTGTAAAGTAACTAGTTGCATAACAGTCATGCAAAGGATATTGCAGACAGTTGGACGTTTGTTACAACATGATTGTCTTTTCTAGAAATGTCCCTGCGTGATGATGATCCCAAAGCACATGTGCTGGCTGTTCTGTTTTCCCATGGCCACTTTTTCAAAGCGGAGCTTCTTGGTATTATGTGAAGAGATTACTTGAGAGATGTCGTAGTTGTAGTTTTGTTGTTCGTGTGATTTGTTTTTGTTTTTGTTTTCTGTGTTTGCCATTCTCTTCAGAGACGTTGCTGATACTGATTAATGACACACATTTTTCTTATTATCCACGAGTTGAATGCTACTGACTGCCTAACTTTATATTTAACTTCTGTAAATTTTGCAGCTGCCACTTTGGGTTCAAAAAAGAGGTCGTAAATCTTATCCCCCCCCCCCCCCCCCCCCCCCCCATGAAGAGTTGATTGTAGAGATGAACATTGTCTGGTTTTGTAACTGTGACCATTATTTAAATTCACTGAGTGCTGTCTTAAGATTTTGTGTCACACAGTGTGACTGTGTCCGCCACATTTTCAAATTTGTGCCATTTGACTTTTTCCTTGTCTGACTAAAAACTCAAGCTCTTATCCTTAGGACCAAATGTTCTCTTATTTCATTTGAGGATTTGCCACGGCAATCAGTGCTTGCACACAAAAGAAAGAGATAATCATTATCAGCAGTCCATGCAGTTTATTGAAGGAGTTGGGCTGTTTGAAAAAAAAAAACTACAACAAAAAAACAAAAATGACAATGTTGTGCATCCAACAGGCTAGCCTTCGTCAATGGACCTATTAACTCTAGTTGCACATTATCAAATATTTTTTCAACTGTTTCGCCACTAGTTCATCATATTCTCTGTATAATATACTGTTTTGTATAGCCGATACTGATACCTTCCATCCATCATAAAACATGAGGGTCGTGGACGTGCTGTCGAGCTTATTCCGGGTGTCTTTGTTCGATTGTGGGGTACACCCTAAAAACCGATGCGCCATTCTGCATGTTGCCTCTGCCGCCTGACACACCCGACACCAATCCACAGAGGAGCCGCTGGTCGGCGATCTCCTCTGGGATGTTGAAAGTGCGGTGAAACCTGGCTGGCCCGCTTTTGTTTACGTTGCCTTCCCACCCACGGCGCTTGTTTGACCCGACAACAATTCACGGAGTACCCGCCGGTCGCATGCGATGTCGTTCATGTTTGAAAGTGCGGTGAAAAGTCTCTGCGAGTCATCAGTTCTTGCTGTAATGCGATGTCAATGAAGTCCACGCGATTATAGTAGCCAACAACGAAGGTAAAAATACAGTTAAAAAGGAAAAGGCATCGGTCTTCATCATTCTCCAACTGCGGCAGCCCCAGAAGCAGGCCGCCATCGAGGCAATGCCACGACTGTCGGGCAATGACCTCCGGGGGAGCCTCGGTTACGGCTCTCGTTCAAGTGAACGTGAACGTGCACTTGTGATTTTTATTTTTTTTTGTTAAAATATGAGTAATAATAATAAATATTGTATTTAGATGTGATGAGATTTCGTCGAGTTCAGTGGTTTTTAACCTTGTTTGAGGAACCGAACCCAACCAGTTCATATGCACATTCACTGAACCCTTCATTAGTGAAAAACAAAAATATGACTTTTTACAAATTCAAGACATATAAAACGCATTTATTTAAAACAGAAAAACAGTGAATAAAATTTCAAGACAAAAGTATACGTTTTTTTAAATTTTACGACGTACTATCATGGCAGTCACACGTTGACTGCTGAGCGAACTAAATTTCCTGCAGCACTGATTGCACAAGCAATGTAATGTGATCATCTGTAGCTAGTGATGGCCAAGCGGGCATGTCATAACTAATTTACATGTTGAGTCGCGTGTGTCTTAACCTCCATGGCAGAGGCTCCGTCGAACGCCTGAGACCGATTCACCGAACGCCAAGGGTTCGATCGAACCCAGGTTAAGAACCACTGGTTAAGTTGCACATTAGTTTATTTGATGCGACTTTCAACATCGGCCTCAATATCGTCCTTAATTTGCTGTGTAGGACCGATAAAAAAACGTTATTACCCACCCGATACCGATGATTATCGTGCATCCCTTAATATACATGAAAATGCTGCTGTTTGTTGAAAAGTGCCCCAGCTGTTTTTTTTTTTTGTTTGTTTTTGTGTTTTGTGAACTAACGTGTGCAATAAATGGAGAGGTGTTGTTTTGAAAGTTAAAATTCTGTTTCTGGAATGCTGATCGGTTACAGATGTATTTTTAAAAAAAGAATGTATCATTTATTTGGGAGAAAAATAGAACCCATTTGATCTGTGAAACAAGGGGTTGGTTCCGCTCTGCTCCTCTGTGTTCATCTCTGAAGTTGCATGTTTATGCTATGTAAAGTTGAGAGCACTTCATGTTCCGTTGCCGATGTGTTCTGTCAAGTGTAATGTGTTGATCTTACAGCCTGGTTTTGGATCCGTTTTGCTGGAGCATGACCTTTCTTTCCTGTACATTCAGCCCTTTTATGTGCAATGCTTTGACAATATCTTGATGATATGCAAGATATGCCTTTACAGTGTGCACTTGGTGTTGTATACCAGTTTTCTACCAGTCGATGCTTTATTTAAAAGTTGTCTTCATAATGGCATATAGATATATATAGATAGATATATATTGTTGAATTTTATATCATGGGTCACTGTTTGATGGCATCTTTCTTGTTAAATGTGAATAGGACCGTTTCAGTTGGGAGTATGTCAGGGTCGTCTTCATTCTGTGACTGTCTGCAGTATGTGTATAGTTAATAATAATAATATATGCAGTATATACATAGTATGTTGCATATTGTTTATACTGTAGGTTATTTGATTACAACCCACTTTCTGACAAACGTATTTTTGTGTCTTTGATACTGTACCTAGTTTTGAGAAACTGTTTAAAACATCCCGGTTAGTGATATAAACTGCACATTAGGGAGAAACTGATGTTGTGGTGTGTCTGGAGTTTGTTTTACAGCTTGCTCTTAAAAACTGACAATACCACTCTGTATTTTAAGGTTTGTGGTTGTACTGATTCTGAATTTGCTAATGTTCTGGCTCTGCAGTCCTGTTATTAAAAAGGGTGTTTTTGTAAATGCATAACATGCAAATAAAAAGACAACTAACGAATTCCATGTGTGGTGCTGTTTCTGCTGGTTTTGGGTGAGCTAGTGCATTTGAAGTCATGCAGATGAGAGAAAGGATTTGGTCGCGATAAAGCACGTTTCGCAAGATGGCATGACAGTTGGCCCACAATGTATTTATTTATTTATTTTACTAAATGTTTGGATGTACCTTTTAGAGGAATTTACGACAGGCTTTCCCGGTCTACCTCTTTGAGATGGCAACAAACAAAGTTCACGATAAATTCAACTTTATACACTGGATTAAACTTGTCATGACGTGGCCCCCTGCTTCTGACGGAACCTTTAAAAGACAGACGAAAATCGAACTGGGCGATGTCGAAACATATGAAATATTACTGCTTTCAGCCAACATTTGCGTCATCAAAAACTACCGTGCAATGATCGTGGTTATATCTTCCTCAAGAAATCGCTCCTGTTGATCATCGTAAATGTTCTTCATTTGGGCCTCTGCTTGTTGATACTATTGACCAAATTGATAAATCTATTTTAAAACACTAATGGCAATCATGCAAATATTATCTCTTGACAAAAGACAGGTGGATAAATATGACACAATGATCAAGCACTTGTTCTCGCCAGCTCCATTTGATCCCTATTGTATAACACTTGGCTCATCTGTTGCTCCTTGCAAATGTGTGTGTGTGTGTATGTGTGTCTTTTTTTTTTTTTTTTTGGAATAGGTGTTCGCAGATGTGTTCACGACTGGTTTACATTTTCGGCTATCTGTGGACGTGCATGGGCAGGAGGAGGAAGTGGGAGTGGTTTAGATGAAATGGATACAGCAGTTAGCGAGCAGAGACTAGATAATGCAATGGTAAGTCGCTGAGCCAGGAAAAATAAAACAGTCTGCATGACTAATGCACATGTCATACAGTCCCAATCAATGGAAAAGTTGGAGTCAATGGAAT